ACACTAAAATTCATACAGAAATTCAAGGGACCCAGAATAGCCAAGAAAACCCTTCTTTTTTTAAAGAACAAATTTGCTGGATTTACACTTTCTGACTTCAAATCTTAATACAAAGGTATCATAATTAAAACTGTGTGGAACTGGCATGAGGATAGACATAGATTAATAGAAAGCATGGAAAGTGCATAAATAAAATTTATGATCTATTGATTTTTGACAAGGATGCCAAGATAATTCAATGGGGGGAAGAATAGTTTTTTCAATAAATGGTGCCAAATTTCCTGAATATTCACATGCAAAAGAATGAAGTTGGATGTCTTCTTGACACCATATACAAAAATTAACTCAAAATAAATTAAAGACTAAATGTCAGCTCTAAAACTTTTGGAAGAAAACATAGGTTTAAATCTTTGTGACCTTGGATTAGCAATAATTTCTTAGTATGGCCTTGAAAGCACAAATAACAAAGAAAAAAATAGAAAAATTGGACTTTATCAAAATTTGAAACTTTTGTGCTTCAAAGGACCCCCACCAAGAAAATGGAAAGACAACCAATAAAATGAGAGAAAATATTGCAAATATTTATCTGATAAGTGACTTGTATCTAGAATACACGAAGAACTCTGACAACTCACTAATATAAAGAGAAACCTATTAAAAATGGGAAAAGGGTTTTCTGGATAGACATTTCTCCAAAGAAGATACACAAATAGCCAACAAGCACATGAAAAGATGTTCAATGTCATTATCCATCATGAAAATAGAAACCAAAATCGCAATAAGAGCCAGCCATGATGCCTTAGTGGTTTAAGATTGGCACACTCCCCTTCAGCAGAAAGGGTTCGGTTCCCAGCATGGAACCACATCACTCATCTGTCAGTAGCCATGCTGTGGTGGCAGCTCACATAGAAGAACTAGAAGGATCTAAAACTAGAATATACAACTATGTACTGGGGCCTTGGGGAGGATAGAAAAAAGGAGAGGAAGATTGGCAACAGATAGCTCAGGGCAAATCTTTTCCAGCCGAAAGGAAAAAGTTAAAAAAAAAAATCACAATGATATATTACTCTATATCCACTAGGATAGATATATCAAACAGACTGGCAGTCACAACTGTTGGTGAGGATATGGAGAAACTAGAATGCTTCAACACTGCTGGTACAAATATAGTGTTGTGCAGCCGTTATAGAAAACAATTCCTCAAAATTTTAAACATAACGTTACCATGTAATATAGCAATTTCACGTCTAGGTATATATCCAAGAGAAATGAAAATATATGTCTACACAAAAACTTGTACATGAATATTCATGGCAGTGTTATTCATAATAGCCCCAAAATAGAAAAAAATGCAACTTTGCATCAATTTGTGAATGGATAAAAAAACTATGGTATATCTATACAATAAAAGATTATTTGCCAGTAAAATGAAATGAAGTGTTGGTACATGTTACAAGATATATGAACCTTGAAAACATTGTGCCAAGTGAAAGCAGTCAATCACAAAAGATCATATTTTATGATTCCATTTGTATGAAATGTCTGGAATAGACAAATCTGTAGAGATAGAAAGTAGATTAGTGGTTGCCTAGGGCTGAGGGTATTCGGGGCAAATGGGGAGTGACTGCTGAGTATGGGATTTCTTTTGGGGGAGAAGAAAATGTTCTAAAATTCGTTGTGGTGATAACTGTACAATTCTGTGAATGTGCTAAAAATCATTGAATTGTACATTTTAAATGAGTGAATAGTTTGGCATGTTAATTAATCTAAATAAAGCTGTCATATTAAAAAAAAACTACACATAAGCTGCTTGTAGCCTCGTCTTGCACGTTAATGGCAATGAGAATAAATTCAGGGCATATTTAGGAAAAAGGTTCAACTGGACTTAGTAAGAGGGAGAAGATAGTGTATTAGTCCAGATACTCCAAAAGGCAGCAGTAAGCAGGGGATTAAATGTGGAAGAATTTTATTAGAGGAAGTACCTGTGTAAGAGAAAATAGGAAGGGAGCTAGATAAGGTTGGGAGAGCCAGCTGATCATAATACAAGTCTGACCCCAAGAGAAGAATAGAGAGAGAAAGTTAGGTGGAGGTGTCCTAAATTACCATGCAGTCTAACAAATTTTCTGCAAAATTCTTAGGGAGTCCTCAAGCTAAAGTTGGCCATTTGAAGAGTCTCTTGTCTCCAGGAATGGTTCTATCATGGTATCCCTGATGCATTCCATCATTGGCTCTCAGGAATCATGGGCTCAGTAAAAACGTGGGGATGGAATTCAAAGTGCATCACCTGTAACCTAGTAGTTGATGATCTGAGAGTGCATTTTCATGGTCACAATGGGTAGCATCAAGGATGACAGCCAGGTTTCTCGCTTGAGCCTCTGAGACATTCATTAAAATAGGGAATAATTGGGAAGGAGCTGGTTCAGGTCCTGGGGAGATACTTAGGGACATGAGGCATTCAGGCTTGTACATGGCTGAGGCACATCCAAGTAGACAAACTGGAACTATGAACATGGAAGTTATGAATAAGGATATGGGACATACATGGTACACAAATTAGCAATTCAAGTTGGAGATCAAGATTTAGGCAATTTGGGCAAAATGATCAGACAGGTGATAATTGTTGGTGACATAGTGCTATGACATAGAAAAGCAGAAGACTAGCGTAATAGAGGGATTCCTAGGGGAGATAGTTCCTGAGCTTGAAGGATCTGAAGGAGTTAGTTTGGCAAGGAGGGTGGAGCAAAGGTGCTCAAGACAGAGGGAGCATCCTGTGTGAATGTGTGCAGGCAGCAAGAGTACTATGCTTTCAAAGCTCTGTAAGTCATTTCTTTTGGTGGAGGTGCATATGGAAAAGTAGAAGCGACACTAGAGAAGTTGATAGTGCCAGGCTCAGAAGACTTGGAGTATCTTGCTAGAGTTTGGATTTTGAATGAGTTTAGGTATAAGGGTGACAAAGAATACGCAGTTTAGAAGATCACACTGACATTAGTGTTGACATAGGAGTAGTGTGTATTCTAGTAAGGTAAAGAGGACTACCCTAAGGGGCCCAGGGTTGCCAAAGATTATTATTTTAATAAAACCCTGTAAAATCTGGATTTTTATGGGAAATCCCAAATTATAAAATTGTGGTAAGTAGTTCAAATTAAAAGCACACACTCATGCATTTTCTGTGAGCCAATTTTCTATTCCTTTCCTGATATGTCTTCTGGTAGTATACAACCCACACCTTCCACTTTTCAGGCTCTGGAGCCGTAGATCTGAGTGTTGTTCTTGCTCTTGTCGCTAGGGAACTTCACACTGACTGACTTTGCTTTTAACCTTCTTTATGAATGGCGTTAAATGTTACCCTCTCTGCTCTCTCCCTCTCCTCTTCCTACCTCCCAGCAATCCATATACCCGCCACACCACCACCACCATGGATCACTTCACTGCAGAAATATTTGTCTTTTCTGAATTTTCAGTCCCTATTTCTCTTGCTGCAGAGTCTGATGCTCATGATCCTGCACTTCTGACCTCCCCTCCATGCTCACTCTCTCTGAGACTTCTGATTTTTTAATTACCACTTTTGCTATTTCTCTACCTGCTACTGCTTCAGTCTGCTTCTCTAACTTCTCTCATCCTACGTCTGCTTTTCTGTTTTTTCTTCTCAGTCTGCAAGGTATCTGAGTTTCCATGTCAACTGCCTTGTGATGGGCAGTGGCGTTGGTTCTGAACGTTCCATAATTTCTAGTTGGTGAATGAATCACTCATAGTACATAACGAGATAACCTTCATGTTTTAGCAATCCATTTTTGTTTTGTAAGGATTAGAGCATGGTGCAATTAAGAGTATACTCACTGCAGCCAGATGGCTTGGATTTAAATTCTATATCTACCACTTTCTAATTACTTAACTGGACATGTTTTTATTTAAATCCCTGAAGTCTCATTTTTCCCCATTTGCAAAAATGTGGATGTTAATAACAACAACCTCATAGCGTTATGGTGAGGACGAATGAAATTAATCCATGTGAAGGATTCATCATAGTGCCTGGAATGGAGTAAAGTTTCAATAAATGTTAGTTTATATTTTAATTATTAAAGATTTCCCCTTTCCCTCCATTATTGTAGTATGTCTTCTCTTCTTTTCCCATTGTTTACTTTTTATATTAAGAACCATTCCAGAAGTTTCAAGGCACTGGATAACTCTTTAGGATAAAAATGATTTCCGTGCTTATGTATTTTTTTGTTCTTCATGGGAAAGATGTTGATGGGATTAGTTTTAACATAAATATCTGGATTTATTTAACAGAAAGCTGTGTTATAAACAGGATTCCAGGTAAAACTGGAAGTAGAATCCATTGTTCCTGAATTGTAGCCACAAACACTGATTGGTTGGGGCAAGGTGTGAGGTAGAAGATAGAAAAATTGACTGGGAGTCAAGAAACAGCATTCTTATTAGAGCTACCATATGTTACTGCTGGCCTTGGTCAAGTTCAGCTCAACCTAGTTGGGTCTAGGTGGAGATTTGATCAAACTAAGCTTTTTATTCAGGTACACCCACCTGCTAGAACTTTGGGGTGCTGTGACTATGAGTTTAAACAAATCCATAGTAATAATATGGGCACACTCCTGGAGCACATTTTTACTCAAATATTGGGGAAGAGACACATTATGTGAATAATAATAGTAAGATAAATATATTATCAGATTTTAAATGAAAATATGTAACTTAGAAATTTGGAATTAACGCCTTGGCTCCTGTGGATTAGTTCCTCAGTTGTGCTGGAGTGCATCTCAAACCTTTACATACACTTTCATGGAGGAAGTTTGAGAAGTCTCAAACCTCCAGGGCTAAAACTTATTGATTTTATAATGCCTGTTTTTATTACTCTCTCTCTTTATACACCTTCAATAATGACTTTCATTTAAGATGCTTCATTATCAACAAATGAGTATATTATTAGTTATTGTTTATAAAATATACCCCTTTAAAATGGTTTAGTATAAATTACATTTAAAAAGTTTTAAAATAAAATAAGTATTTAAGATATATTATTTATGCACAGTTTGTTTTTCAGGATATTAAACGTGATATTAAGATGTGTTGAGTCTTTTCTTAAAACCCTTCCCATCCTGTTAGATTTTTTAAATACAATTAAACAAAATTTACCCATAGAAATATTAATTATCTTGACTATTCCATTGTATACTTTTAATGATGAACTAGTACTCATTTTTCAGTAATACTTTAGGGAAATACTAGTGTCAATATTTTTTTATAATTGCAGCCTGAATTGTCAGGTTTTGCTTTAAGCTGTTAATAAGCCAGGGTAGGTGAACAATTATAATTTCCTTTTTCAAAGAGTATTTGAATGTTTATAGTCACTTCTCATGAAGACTCAGGTCGGTCAAATTCTGGACTCTGACCTTATCGTCTTCATTATTTTAATTACTTTTGGAATCAAAAGAAAATCTCCAACAGACTCCCATACAGTGAGTACCATTTTATTTCATGTTATTTGTAAATTGTCATACAGAATTGAATCTATAAGCACATTGGTAAGAGATCAAACTTCCGTGGCAATGTTCACCCTGAAAATTTGCTTTCCTTTAAAGTAGAAGATATCAGGATAATGATGCTAGCATTAAAAAAGTAAAAACAACTACATAAAAAGTTGTATAGGTAACACTAAGACTTTTGTTTGCAAAGAGATAAGTATTTTAGCCTGACTTGTTTTATAAAAAATATACTAGCATAGAAAGAGCAAAAATTTAAGTCCTTTTCTAGTAGCCATTTATATAACAGTAGTCACTGTTAATTTGGGAAAGATCATTTTCTGATCACAAAACTTACTTGACAAAATTTGCTAAACAATCACACAATTCTGGAACAGTCATTTTCTTCAAATATTATACTATCATTTTGTATTCTCTTTGAATATGCCACATGATGCTTTGGTCTTTATATGCAAAGTACAATTTTGGATAATTTTGGATATTTCAGTTCTAAGAAAATGTCCTCTGAAATATATAGATTGTTGCCGCAAATATTTAAATATATGCTTGTTTTCTAGATTGCTCCCTAACAAAGTATAGTATCTACCACTTAAGGTGTGAAGATGAAATGAGAAAATATATGTTAAAGAATTTGTAACCTGTTGAGTAACCATACAGTTATCATTGCCTTAACTCTGCCCTAGGTCTGTGTGTGCCTTTGGGCATGCAGACATAAACTTTAAGTCTTAAAATTGATGTGCTTCATAGAAAATATTCTATCTTCATAAAAAAAGAGCCTAATTGCTAAATAAATAGTATATATCACAAAGAGTTTTCATGTATAGAGCGCCTTCCTTATCTGGTTAGTGATTACATGCTTTAGAATGAGGATAATACATTTTTTTCCCAGTGGTAATTTTTTCTATGTAAACTGGACCATTGAAAATTGATTTTTCTATGTTGATATTTAAATTATTTGCCCATTAGTCTGCTAAATATACCAGAGCATTGTAGAGTGGACACACTGGGTTTGCAAATATTCTTTTATATCTCCAACTTGGGCTTTTGACTGTTAAAATACCGAAAGGTTTATTTACTAAACAGGAATTCATGGGAGAATATGCATGTGTGTCAAGCTTTTAATAATTATGTTGATTACTGATAGGCTCTTGAATCAACTGCTTCAATCTGAAAAATATTGGAAGGTAAGAAGATTAATCTTTGCAAATAAGATAATATGCAGGCAGGCAGAACTTGATTGGAGAAAAAGGTCAGTAGCCATCTGTTCCTCAGTCTTATTTAGAAGAGCAGAAGGTGTGGTATGTCATGCCCAAGCTGTTTTCAAATGCATGATGACAAAAAATGTGAAATCATTTGGAAGGGGAATTTTTTGAAATTTCACCTTGAAACAAATTGCTTCCTAAGATAAACAAAATAGTATATTTAGTTTCTGCTAAGAATTTTTTTCTACAGAATTTGAAGTTCCACAGCTCGCTGATCTAGACGGGTGTACCCTAGACTTAGTCTTGTGAAACAAATTATAGCAAACACAAATATTAGAGAATAGAGGTATGATTTTTGTACAGTAAACATTAGACAGATTTGCCAATGATTGGCTGGTTTCTCACATAGAAAGTTTATCTACCTGTTCTTTAAATGGGCTAATAATTTCTTATTTCTTCTTCTTATTACTACTCTGGGTATTCATGCATCTTTCCAGAGTTTTTGTGAGGACCCGTGTGGGCCATACTTTCGAGCTCTGATGTCACAGGCAACCTGACTAAAGATTCTAAGTGGGAGTGGGCTTTAAAGCAATAAGACATGTAAACATCACAATTCTTTTTAGCTGCATCCACTCTTGTTGGTATTCCCACGGCCGATCTCAATTTTCTCTTTTCATAACAACTCAGTAAGGGGTTTTACCAGAGCAGACAAGCATGAAATTAATTTTCCATAGAAGTTTACTGATGCTGGAAAACTTGCTGGTCAGTAATATTGGTATAAGTTCTGAGGCTGGCTTGGCTGTTTCATTTTCTCCCTTTAATTGTAGTGAATTTTATCAGCATCATTTCTGTAAAGTATATCATATGCAAAAGCTTTAAGGGAAGGCGTACAGAGGTTTTTTTCATATTTAATCTCTTAAATTTTTAGCAAGATTTATAGTAGCACAGCACTCTGTTCTTTTTTTTTGTTAAGAGCAAGATGACTTAACGATTTGTCTTGGCGCTTGCTGCATCACACACAGAATTTTGGAAGAAAGAAGATGCCCCAATGCTGCAGAGAGTAACTAAAGAGCTGAGACTCTTCTTATGCTTCAGCAGTGACAAGATTCTTTTTTAGAACTAGCAAAACCTGGATATGTTAACTCTAACTTGGATAATTTCTTTCCCTACGTTGTTAAGCCTAAAACACTTCTGGTATCTTGGCAACCTAATGTATCTCTGTTGTCCTGTAGTTGTTGCTGCAAATTCTTTAGGAATGATATACTACCTATTTTAAGGATATAGATTTTTGATTCATAGGAAGGAATGGTCATCCTTAATTTTTTGCATCTAAAATTTTTGAGTTATTAACTCCTCTCTATTCTAAGAGGAACTTGTGAAGCGTTCCACGCTCTGGGGTATTGTGCTGAGGCAAGTTTGCTATTCAGCAGACCTGGTGTGGGTAGAAACTTGTAGAGACTGATCATCTGGACTGCTCTTGCGCTGCTTTGCTCTTCCGGTGACCTACCTTATACAACCTCTGCCAAATGCATCACTTTCTTGTCTTGAAAGGCTGAGCTTGGTTCTCCCCTTTGCACCAGGCGTATCACTGGGGATGTGAGCTCCTGCTGAGTTTCTCACTCCCTGCTGATAACAGTTAAGGGGAAAAAAAATCCTCCCTTAGTTTCTGAGACTAATGTGTGTTTTGTAAATGGTGTTGCTGTGTATCTTCTAGAGAGTGAAGGTTTCACAGATGTAGTGAATCTCCTACTTGTCCACTCTTCGAGAGAGGTAAATGGGGTGTATTATCTGATATTTTGTTGTTGTTGTTATTTACAGGCATTTGGTCACTGAGAGACTGAATGTGTAAGAAACAGGTAAATTCTGTGAAAAGGTTGTGACAAGTGGAAGATGAGGTGAGAGGAGAATGCTTCCTGACCTCCAACCTCCCAGGCCTACCCTACCCAAGGGCTGGAACAGAACTGTACCTTTTAACAAATGTTTATGGAACATTTATTAGGTGTGAGGCAAAGTATTAAGTTAAAGGGCTGCTGTACAAAACGAGAACAATAACCCAATAATAATGACAACAATAGGCTGTCGTCCTTATTCTCAAGGAGCTCCTGGACACACTCATAAAAATGTGCAGAGGTGTTTAAACCCAAAATATAAGACAATAACAAGTTATACTAATAGGTAGCCATTTATTGAATGCTTCCTACGTATTAGTTCATTACATGCTGACAGCTATTCATGAGATAGGATGGGGTTCAGGGAGATTGAGTAACTTGCCCAGCTCTTAGCAGAAGAGCTGGTTTTGAACCAAGCATCAGTGCACTTAATTATTATAGTATAGCCCCTCCTCCTCCCTGTATGATGCAGAACAGAAGCTCTTATGTGTTCTTAAACAACAGGCATTGATTAATTCTGTCTGACTGAGGTGTAGGAATGGATTCACAGTGGACTGAGCAGAGTTTTGAAGAGTGAATTTAGTTTCCCCAAGAAAATAAGAAGAATAAAGGTGGAGCAGTGGTGGTGGTGGCATCTTCCAGGCAGAGAAGTCAAGGAAGGATTAAAAAAAGAAGAAAATGAAGTTTAGCTTTTCAATATCACAAACTTTAAGGGCAGGAAGAAGCAGGCGATGAAGTTGGAGAGGGAATTCTGAAGGGTCTTGTAAGCAACGTGAGAAGATTAGAATGCGGATTACGGGAAGAGCATCGCTTGGAAGTGGAATCAAGAAAACAGAATAGACCTGAAGTATGTCTATCAGGAACTCAATCTGAGAATTGGCCACACTGATAATGTAGGCATTGAAAGCCAAACAAGGCATAGTGGGTAATACAGATATTAATCACAGCAGGAAGCCGTAGTCCCCTAGGTCAGAGGCACAAAGGAAGGCAGTGGTGTTACTGGACCCCAGGACCAATAAGTATTGCTGGAAGCTTGATCCATTTAAGCCTGACCTATTGGGGGTGGGGGAATGAAACTGTTGCCAGAGATGCTGCTGAGTCATTAGGGCAGGAGGTTGCGGGAGAGAAAGAGTCCTCCATTCTCTGTCAGTGTCTCCCAATGAACAAACAGTAGAAGCCTGGGAAATGCTCCTAAGGAATCAGCCCTCATCTACTATCACACAGATCAAGCAGGGAAGTGAAGGCAAGAATCTGAGGGGGCATAAGACCTAGGACCAGCAAGGTAGGCAGGGTTTCACTGTAGGATTGCAATATGTTACACATGCGATTGACTACAGTTTGGATTATAGATGTAGGAACAGAGAATAGTGGAGTTGCAGAGGTCATTTGGAATACTGTTGCATTTGGCAGGGATGAATAAGGACTAGAATTAAATCAGGGTCTGGTGGAATGGATCAATCACTCTCCTTATGACTTCATTGTAGGGAAAGATTTCATAAACAAGACATAAAACTCACTAACCATAAATTAAAAGATCATAAACATAATTATATTAAAATTGAACATTCCATTTATCAAAAGACAATGTAAAAAACTACAACTCCAAATTATGACTTGGGAGAAGATATTTGCCACACATATAACCAATGAATCATTAATTTTGAGAATAACATTGCTACAAATCAATAAAAAAAGGAAAAACAACCAAATAGAAAATGGGCAAAAAGCATGAATTTGCATTTCACGGAAGAGAAAACCCAAATGGCTAATAAACATATAAAAAAATGCCCAAGATCAGTAACAGAGAAATGCAAATTAAAACCACACTGTGATAAAATTCCCACTAACCAGATTGGCAAAATTGAAAAAATCAGATGAGACCAAGTGCAGGGAGGATACTGAGCACTAGGAACTCTTCCTTACTGCTTCTGGGAGGGTACATGGGCATCGCCACTTAGGAAAGCATTGTGGTGTTATCCTGTGCACGCCCAAAAGATATTCCTGTATATGTGCAATAATATAGCTGTAAAATAGTGGCCATTGTTTGTAATAGTAAAAGTAAAAGCAGTAATATAATAAAACAATAAAAAGCTACTAAAAACCTATTCTTAGGCAAATAAATATATCACGTCATACTCATACAATGTAATTATATACAACAGGGAAAATGAATGTTCATCTGCAAACATGGTTGAATCTTGAAAATATGAAGTTGAATAAATATATTAATCATAGAAGTATGTATACAATATGTTACCATCTGTAAACTCCAAAATATATAAAATTAATGATATATTGTATATACACATACACATTTGTATGTATGTATATATAACTATATATTTGAATATATATATATATATTCAAAGCCTGTGGGAATGGACGTAGGAGGGAGTTCAAAAATTTCTGTTTCTTAAGGTGCATGCATGGAGGAAACATAGATATTTGTTATAAGATTGTTCCTTATTCTTTTGCATTTGTGACAATATTTCATAACAAAAGCAAGTTTAAAAAATAAAGAAGGGTTAAAACAGGAGATACAATACAATCCATGTCATAGAAGGCCTGGAATGAGAGGAGACTTGATCTTTGGGTGTTCCATGTTGACAGAGTGTAGCTTTCTAGTCTATAAGAAAGTATATTTTCCCTCCATTGAATCATAAACTCCCTAATTAAAATATAAGCTTCTTAAGGAGAGGTATTATGCCTTTTACCTTTGCATGTCCCCTTGTGCTAGCAAAGCTCTAGTGTATGTGTGTGGATTAGAATGATCGCGGTGCTGAAGAGAAATTAATTAGCTCCTCTCCTGTCTGCCTCTGTTCTCAGTCTGTGATTGGGTGAAAAATATCTCCCTAATGGTCAGGAGGAACATAGGCGGATTGGACTGGATCTCATTCTAGCTTTGTCATTAATCAGATACATAACCTTAAATAATTTACTGGCTTCTTTGGATAACCAGTTTCCTCAATTGCTGAATGAAGGGATTGGACCAGAAGTTCCCTTTCAGCTTTAAGATTCTAAGGTCGATGATGTCACTGCAGAGATGGATTCATCACCTGCAGCCCTTTCCACTTTCATGCTCATAAATAGCTATTTCTATGCCTGAAATTCCTACTCACAACTTGTCTTTTTTGCATAATTGATAGCAGAGTTTTTATTCATCGTGAAACATCTTATTTCTGATTCTGTGCATCAAAATGATGGTCTGCTGCAAGTGCTCAGCGGTCGACCTGAATGTTTTCAGGATTTCGTATGTTCTTGAAGTGCTTCATCTACCTTCTTGGTATTGTACATAGAAAATAGAGAACACGTAGTCCTTGCTGAAAAGTCTAGGGCACTTGATTTTGGTTGGCGTTTAAGCGTTGACTTTTAAACCACATCATCAGTTAGCAAATTTATTTTTAAATGCATTTTATTGAAATCTGGCAGAAATAACCTACAAATCCAGTTCATCTTCTGTTTGATGCCAAAAGGCAGAATGATCCAACAACTATACTTTTATGAATTCACATTGGTATTCATTTCTTGATAACACCAACCATAATTTTTACTGTACCTATTTTAGGGACATGAGTTTGACATCTATAATTGTTGCTATAAGTCATGAGGATAAGCTTCCTCTTGCAAAAATAAATTTCTTCTTTCAGCATATTTATTTTCAGAAATATTCTAATTAAATGGTGAAATATATGGTCCTAATGGGGATATCAGCAGCATCAGTGTTACAAATGGGACATCCTTAGCGCCAAATACAGTTGAATTCAGGAGACTGTGCTTGGGACGCTGTTGCCCTTGCTTCTTGCTGTGGGGTGTCTGGTTGACCTCTCTCACATTTGGGACTGCTAGTCTTCCAGTCTTGTCCATCTCTTTTGTTAAGCTTAGGGATTCTGTTCTCCATTGTCTTCATTTTAATCTTTACTCTTTATTTGGAAATCAGTGAAACTATGTTCAGTTCTTAGTTTCTGAACACTGAGTTCCTTTTATGTGTGTGGGTGTGGTTCTGGAAGATTGGGTCCAGCTTTCAGATTGGCATCAGTTTTCAGGCATGCATCCTCACATTATCTGTTTTGCTTACGTGATCCCAACATGGTAATTCTTGGTGAAGAAATATCCTCTATTGATAGTATCTCTGTCTATAGTATTGATAGAATATTGATAGAAATATTCTCTATTGATAGTATTTCTATAGTACAAATAAATAGTTTCATTTTGTTTTTACAAAACACATACAGAACAACCTGCCATTACTTTTAGGGCAGTGCACATCCATTAAAAAATGACCAGAGGTTTACATGTCTAAGACTCCATATTGTTTCCAAAAAAGCTGTTGTGATTAAGATCTATGAATTCATTCGTTCATTCCACAAATTTGCAGTTAATATTAACCTCATATCAGCCATTATGGGCGTTGAAAACCGGGAGTAGGAATGGACAAGTTGCCAAAACTATTCTCAGGTTAGTCCAGGAGTCAGATATAAGATGCATTCTTCTCTGAAAGTGTCCTTAGCAGTCACGACTTCTACTCCAAAGTAAGTACACAAAAACCGTGAGGAACATCGCTCCCACAGGACGATTTTCTAAAAGAAAAATATTGAGGAGAAGTCAAGTTAATCCACCAGGACAGATTCTCTAATTGTTTGAACTGGGTTCTAGAAAAGTGACAATAGAAGTGAGAGCTTTGAAAATGAAGATGTGGGAATGCTAGCATGCCAGATGGTAGTGTTCAAATCCATGGCTTTTGTTCCTCTGAGTAACTAGAGAAGAGTGAGGTACAAAACCACACTTTAAATGAGGAATTTGCATTTTATTTCTGAAATTTTCAAGATTGTGGATTGCTTTAAACCCAGATGGTTGCAAGAATAAAGAATATGAATTCTGAAGTCATATTACCTGGGCTCACACCTTGGCTCCATGACCTAGAGCAAAGTATGTTACTTCTGTCTTAGTTCCTTTAAAGAGGAGTAACGTTAGTGCTTATCTCATAGGGTTTTTGTGGTAGAAAATGAGATAATGCATGTAAAGCACTTAATTCAGTGTCTACAGTGTCAAGGATAGAGTGAACATGCACCAAGTGTTCGTAATTACTATTTCCCATAACATACTTTAATTGCAGTCAATTAAAACATACAGTCTTAGACTTGGAAGAGATCCATTGCAGAAATTCTCTCCACTATATTTTTGAGAAATGGTTATAGAGCAATAGGTCGCTTACTGCTCCATAAGCATCCTATTTCCTTTTGAATAGCTGTAATCATTAGAAAATTCTTTCTTGTCAAGTCAACATTTGTGATCTCTAACCTCTACCTATTGTTTCTGCTTCATGGAACTCCATATAACATTTGAGCTTTCTTCTACATGGCAGGCTTTCAAATAAGTATTTAAAGATAGATATCTCATTTTCCATATGTTTTCTCATGTCTAGGATAAATCTTCTAAATTATTGTGCTTATGTTCTAATCCTCCATTTATTCGAGGACATTGTTGGCTGGCTTACTACAGATTCATTCTCAACTCTCTTCTCCCTTACCTGCTTCCGAAATAAAGTGTGAATAGCAACTAAGGGTAGCCATGAGACTCAGTTCAGGCAAATGAGATGTAAGGAGAACTCAGCTGGAGACTTTCTGGAAAAGCATTTAGTTTCCTAGTAAAAGTGACCTTCCCAACCAGCATTGTCCCATCTCCTTTTATCTCCTTCCTTCCTGTTTTGAGTAGAAACATGATTACTGGAGCTACAGCAGCCATATTGCAACCTTGAGATGATGAGTTCAAGGGCGAAAAGTCAGCAAGCTAAGCCCACAGAGGTGAAATAATCAAAAAGAGCTTAGGGCTTGCTGAGTATGTTCAGCAGCTGAACCAGTGCTTGCAACCAATTATCCTAATCTTTTTGTAAATCAGATAATAACTGTTATATCATGAAGCCAGTGATTATCAAACTTTAGCATGCATCAGAATCACTTGTAGGGCTTGTTGAAATACAGATTGCCAGGCTCTAACTTTAGTTTCTGATTATGTAGATCTGGAAAGGGGCTTGAGAATTTGCATTTCTAACAAGTTGCCAGGTGATGCTTATGTGGTGGTAGTGGTGGTGGTGGTAGTGCATTTTGAGATCTCCTGGTTTAAACCATTGTTAATCTGATTTTCTTTTCTTTGCATTTTATGACTTTATTTAATTAATATGAGCAGAAATCACTATTTGATTTTGAATTGCTCTCTTAAAGTGTTTCACCAACATTTAAAAAAAGGATTTCTAAAACTCTTCTCCACTGTAGAGAGTTCCTTTATTAGACTCTCCATAACAGCTAGCATAGTTATCTGAGTTGCTCCTTAGCAATTCAATCATCAGTCTATGGGATATTTAGTGTGATGGAATAAATGAAAAGCAATAAAACTAATAAGGAAAGCAAATATGTTGAGGTATATGAGGAAGCCATTTTGGTTTGAAACTGATTCCACCTGAACCTCGTTTTCCAGAATGGCCTGACATGGCCTGTCAAGCCTGCATTGTTCATCTGCTTTAAATATTAGACAGTATTCCAAAGCAAAGAATGTTGCCTTTAAAGATTAGGATGAATGCCTGCCTCCCATATCAATATTTCTTTGAAGATAAGCATTCTTCCCAAGAAACCAGGGCCAGTGTGCTGTGTATGCATCTTGTGACTATAACAAAAAAAAAAAAAAAGAAGAAAGAACAAAGGTATACCTGTCATTTTTGATGAATGTTCTTTGTTCCTAAATAGTATATAACGATGCCGTACACCTCACATCTCCAGAGTGCTTTCTCCCATGGTGGAGATCATGCTTCTGGGCCAAAGTCCTCAGATTGGCTCCTATAATAAACTCACTTCATTTTTATTCTATAAATTGACTATTGGTTATGTGTATCAATAAGTGAAATTTTATTACATGCAGATCATTGTGAGAATTTAAGGAAGGGTGAGATATTGCTACTGTCCCCAAGGAGTTTACAATCTAGATAGGAGGTGGCACACAAAGTATGAGAAAGACTACTTTCCATCTTTATCAGATATCACCATTTCCAAAGAGTTTTCAGTTATATTAGCATAATCAATACTTAAGATAATGTGAAGTGGACACATTATCACCCATTTTACAGAAAAATCAAGATCCAGCTGGTTAATTAATAAATCTAAAGAGGCCAAATTAATACATAACAAAATCAAATCTAGGAATTTTAACTCCTTACTCAATGCACAACATATCAGACAAATGCTTGTAATTGATATTTATCTTTTCCCTCTCCTCCATTTTCAGGGCAATATAAAAATAAAATTAGCTTTACTGTTTTATACTACTTGGTGGTCATAAATTGCCTCTCAACAAGCCTGAATGACAACCGGCTATTAGAGAGTTATCTCTAAGAACTTCTTAAAAGTAGCTTTTCAACTGATAAGAGATGTTCAGAACTGCTGTGTTCCATTGTAAATGTGCCCAAAGGTGGCCAGCTTAGGCGACAAGTGGAGACTGAAATCCCAGACGTGTGCCCTGGCATGGGACTACCTCCATTGAAAAGGAGGATGACACTTTTCGTCAACTGCAGGGTAGACAGAGTGAGACCCCATTGGTTACTCACCTCCCACAGTGCCATGAAAATATCACAGCTTTGCCCTGGAGCCAGATGACTTTCTGGAAGGAGTGTGGAACAGGGAGCTATTTTGAGGGGGAAATCAACCTTAAAGAAAATTTGAACTTCGAGTTGACAGAATATTTACTCAAAAGAGGTTATTTGAAACTATAACAGAGTAGTTAACGTTAATTTTAAGTTTAAATCTTCCATTCTCTGCTCTTCTGCCCAGCTTTCCCCACATTCCATCAGCAGAGATGGGGGCTCATCAGGAAGTTGCTGGATTTTAGAGAAGCAGATAAGCTATTTTTTTGTGTTTGTTTTTACACATCTTAATCGTGGGGTATGAATTTCAACTTCAACACATACGTAGAATTTGCCATTTCTTCCAAAAGGTAAGAATTAGGATTCTTACCTATTAGAATTACCTATTAGGATTCTAATAGGAATTTACTCATGATACCATACAACATGTACAAAGTGAAGTGTAAGTCCCTACCATAGAATTGCTTACAGTCTAAAATGGAGAAAACTAATATTGATATAAACATTTCTGAATATAAGTAAAGCAATTCTGAATTCGTTACACAGTTAGTGAATATTGTTCATTTTCACAATTAAATTGTATGCAATCTTTTCCTTAACTATCTTTCTCTATTTTAAACATTTTAAAATTCATGAGATATAGCAATAAATACAATAAAAACTTTCCAGCTTTACAGAATTTTAGTTAGTATACAAAAATAAATGTGGGCTGAAAACTCTACAGAGAAAGAGATTTAAAGAGAACAAATTGCCCTTTTTTGGTACGTTATTTCAGAAAAAAAACTTGTAAACGTAATTTCTGTTCAGGACTAGAATTCTAGTTGAAGTAGGCTATAGCCTATACAGTAAAATTTGCATGGCAATATTTTTTGCCTTCTTGATTATTGAAATTGAACCATTAGTGATTCATTTTCTAGGTGCAGGCATTGTGGTCTTTCTGTAGGCCTTTTAAAATGCAAATGCACATGGAAGAGTACAACCAAATTAAGTTCTTTATAATTTAGAGTGGTTGCAAATATCAGATGGCTTTTTTTCTCAACGTAGCAATGAAAGTGCTTGTAGGTGTTTGGAGTGAAATATACAGAGTTAGACACTGAAAATTGGAGGGGGAAGGCAAATTTTCAGAAGTAAGTAGAGAGACATGCTAAAAACCAGAACCTTGGGGCTGGCTCTGTGGCCTAGTGGGTAAGTTTCGTCCACTCCTGCCTTGGTGGTGCAGATTCAGTTCCCTGGTGGGGACATTCACCATTTGTTGGCAGCCATGCTGTGGTGGCAGCCCACATACAAAATAGATGAGGATTGGCACAAATGTTAGCCGAGGGCAAATCTTCCTCAGAAAAACAAACAAACAAACAGACAAAAAAGACACAGCACCCTGACCACATCATCTCGTGAACTCAGCAATAGAAGAGCACATCCCTACAGGATGTTTGGCATGTGGCAAATCTGTCAGACCCTTGAAACTTGTAGTCCTCCATTGTCCCTTTGCTTCAAATTTACAGATGACAGGGGGAAAGAGAAGGAGGGAGTGGGTGTTTGCTCAAAAATCCCAGGAGATATTTGGGGTCAATGTTTTCTGTTGACATTTTCTTGGCCAAAACTAATCATAAAGCTTCATGTAGATGTGAGGGGGTTGGGAAAAGCAGTTTTTCCACGCTCCCAGGAGGGAAAGCAGATGGTTTGGTGAACATACAGCGTTTTTCTGCCACCATTAGCTTTCAAAATTTTTAATAGGAATAATCAACTTAAAGGCAAAAAACTCTGAACATGTAAATCAACTCTATTGTTAACATCTAGTGACTACATACTATATGTTACCCTGTGTTGTCTACTCTAAAAGAATACAATTAAGTACAGTAAGTTTATTAGGAACTGTTTCATCTGGTGTGATCAGGATCAGCAGGTCAGTAAAAGTCAGTTAAAACAGGGAATAGATGAATTAAACATTTCTGTTTTTGACAATACAAATGAATGAATATTCATTCACTGATTTTTTAATGTAGGGCAGAGACCTTCCTTTCAGTAGGAGTGTCATTGTCATCTATCTTGCCTAACCCATGAAGCAAACAGTATTGGTTTCCTGTCTAACAGCTACTCCCCTCTTCCAAGCTGCCTAGATCTTTTCTTTTTTCCCCTGGTGTCCGCCCATTTCCCAAATGAATTAGGTGATTCTCTACTTGTCAGCTAAAAGTGTTAGGTATATAACCTGCTCCTGGCCAATAAGACACAAAAGAAACCTAAGGAGCTTCTTTGAAAGATACCTTTGCTCTTAAAAGGCATTGCACAGGGGACCCAAGGGGCTCTTTTCAGCCTTTGGCTATTGATTTATGAGTATGGGATACCTTGAGCTGCTGAAGCCATTTTGATTCCTTGAAGGAAGGTTGCCAATAAACTATAAATGGTTGGATAGAGAGGTGGAAATGACATAGGATGGCTTGACTATGTTGCTGTATTAACCCTGGAGTTGTTCTGCCTCAGGACTTGTGGCTAACTGGAATGATGATTCCATCATTCTTTTGTCTTTCAAGTAGAATTTCTATTATTTAAATCCAAAAGTATCTGAATTAAAGCACCACAATTTCTGGTTTGAGTTTCTTTAAGTTTGCAATGAGACATTAAAGACGTTTATGAAGATGTTCCCTGTGAACAATCTTTCTAGATTGTTGTGATTTTTCCAGTCTTTACAGCTGTCTCATTGACAACTAATCCAAGAGCAGGTTTGTTTGCTGTTTGTTTGTTTCTTTCTAAGCAACTCATTTTTTTTGGAAATTTGCAAACCATTAAATTTAATTTTCATAGAGGCAACTTCTTTTTCACACTCATATTTCATTAGTTTATGTGATTTTTTAAACTAAAATGCACAACTACAATAATTAAGCGCAACAAAATTGGCTAAATCCTAGTAAACATTCAGCACTACTGGTGAGAACAGCCTTTGCAGGCACACTAAAAAGTAGCCACAGCTTGCTGGGAACTTTCAGAGAGAGGCGGCATCTGACAGGATTGAAAGATTGAAGGCTATTAATTAATCTATCAATCTCACTGAATAGATGGTGATCAGTTAAGACCTAATATATAAAGTTAAGTAATATACAATTGCCAATTTTATATCTCAAAAATGTTCAAATATTGACAATTTCATATAGTTCAACCTGAAAAATATACAACATAGACTTCAGTCTCCAGGAGTTTAATATCCAATTAGGGAGCTAAGATACACCTATGAAAAAAAAATCACCAGTTCAAGTCAGCGTATATGTTGGTGTTCCACTGATATTCTCTCTGTTCCCTTTTTACCACTTGAATGTTTTCACTTTCAACAGCCAATGTCTGCGGATCACTTTCAGAGGACTACTCTTGGGCTACTGGAGCCATTTTGCCCACCCATGCAGAGAGCTGGAAGTGCCTGAAAATGTACATCCTCCTGGGAAGCTTCAACCAGTGTGGAGTGAAGGGTGTGGGAATAGGAAAGCCCAGCTCCTTGTCCGGGGCTCCCCTGCAGGATGAGGCTGAAGCCAACCTCTGTGGGACTTTTCCTGACATCATACACTCCACTCGCTTCCTCCTCTTTTCTTTCCTGCTTATCCCACTCTATTACTGGTTTCTCCTGGAGAATTCCCGTAGTAAAACACTTGCACACCAGTTCTCTACTCAAGGTGTCCTCCTGGGGAACCTGCTATAGGACATTAAGGAATGGTAGGTGTAGACTGAATGGTATAGATAACATGTGTTAGAGAATTTCAGAGATGGGAGCTACCACTGCCAACTTTGGCGATTCAGGAAGGCTTCAGAATATATCCCAAACTGTGAATTTCATAGATATTTATCTAATCAATAAATAGTAATGGAGTGACTACTATGTTTCAATTAACAGTGATAGCAATGGAGGGACTTGCTAGGCAAGTGGTTCTCAAATTGCCATCTCTGGATCAGCAGCATCAACATCACCTGGGAATTTGTTAGAAATGCTAATTCTCAGGCTCCGCCCCAGACCACCTTTTTCAGAAACTCTGTCTGAGGCCCAGTAGTCCATGTTTTCACCATCCCTTGCACACTCACTTTACCAGGCAAATATTTGGTTTCACCCCTTGCCCTGCTGATCTTTAACTGTGAGCTCAGACAACTTAATTACTTCTTTGATGTTTAATTTCCTTGTATGAGACTTAGGGGTGATGGCACCTGCCTTTTGAGGGCCAAAAAAGTGTTATTTTTCTGCCTTTGTTTCTCTCCACGTTGTTAGTTTTTCCTCCTATTTTCCTTCTCTCTTTCTCTTCTTCTCTACCTTTTCCTCCTCCCCTCCCCTCCTTCCTTTCTTTATTTCCTTCCTACCTGCCATGCTTTTAACTTGGTCATGAAAGATGAATTGAATTTTACTAGGTGGAGAAAGAAGACTAAACATCCCAGGCAGCAGGAATAGCTTTCAAAGGCACACATGAGTCACAGTGTGGGGACCATTTGGCTCCAGGGAAGTCATGGATGAAAGGACAGAAGTGGCAGGGTGTGATGCAGATGCTGAGCTGTGGTTGTAACTATATTCTAAAGGCAATGGTGAGATGTGATATGGAGGACTGGGAGTAACATGGTGAAAAGCATCATTTGGGCAGATTTATCTCACACTGATCTACCTTAATTAGAAGAAGATCAAGATTTCAGGCTGGGAATTCAGTTAGAAAAGACTTATAAAGTAATCCAGGCAAGAGCCTGAATCAAGGCACTGGTATTCTAACGATGAGGGAGAAGTAGAAAAGAATCCCACCTATTGAGAAGGGGAAATCCACACAGCTGGAGGGTAAGGTGGAAGACAGAAATTGACTAAAAATGGCTGTGAGGTTCCAAGTCTGACAGAATGGGAATACCACTGTCAGCAAAAAGGATCCCGGGCAAGGAGATGTTGCTGAAAGAGACACACACAGTTTGAGGTGGGATGGAATTTATGGTTTACCATATTTATCCTTCTAGTCATCCAGGATAGCACTGTTCTCTAAAATTCAAAAATTCAAATTTCCGTAAACCTCCCTGGGAAGACAGCTCCATGAACAAGCTGAAATACATATAATTTATGCTTATATGTGTAAGACAAACTTCAGTCTCTGCTAACTTGTATAACTATATAGCAATCAATACATTAGTTTTAGGAGAGATGCTTGTTTGGACAGAAAAATAAAAGTGTTTTTAAGCATGAATGGATTATATATGTGGCACACTGTGCTTGTTTGTGATTTCTTTGCATCTGCAAAACATGCTGAGTTAATTGCAGCCACACCTCTCCATGAGGTTGCTTTGTGTAGTTCAAGGCTTCATCCCCTCTGGGCTGGATGCACCAAGTACTAAGTTGTTGGTTTGAAAACTCAGGAGTTCCGCAGGTGAAATCCAAAACTGCCCCCAACCCTGCCATTCATGGAGAGCAAGGAAAGATGGAAGAAAGAGGCAGAGCGCTCCAGATTGGTAGGTGGTAGGTTTAATAAGCAAAGGAACTTACAGACGAGGCTGGTCTTGGGCAACTGCAAGACCAGTAGATCTCAGTACCCGCCTGCCAGAATCTTAAAAGTTCATATGGAGGCCTTAACTGGGTTCAGTCACGTATACTGTCCAGATGTCTCAACAACACCTTATTCTCTCAAGGCTGCATCCCTGCAACAGCTTCCACCGTGGAAACAGTAAGCAGAACATACATTCTAAGGACAGAGAAGTGAGTGGGGAGCCTCTGATTGCCCAGGTCCAGCTCTCGGGTCAACCAGCAGTCAAGACCTCTTAATGACCCCCTCCAATGTAAGTTCACTCTCTTGTCAATTCATTCCCTTCCTTTCAACTTCCCATCCATTGATCAAAAAAGATCCAGGATCCCCAGAGACTCACAAATATGTTCTGTATTTGGCCATTACATTGATCTTTCTTATTTAACATGTAATCAGAGCCATTTTCTATCAACCATAGTCTCCTCCTCAATGTCCAACCTCCAATTATTTTGATTTTTTTTTTTTTTGCTGTAGATTCACGTATATTTTCATTAGCCATTTCAGAGTTTTACTAGTAATGGGAAAGGACTTTTAAATTGTTTTGCCTGTTTTTTTGGTCATGGAAAAATATACTAATCAGTGGCCCCTTTCTGATATTCTGTGAGGTTTGATTCTGAGGATTTTTTTGGTATCTTACTTCTAGTAGAATAGACCCACTGGTGCTGAGGTATTCCAACATTCAGAACAAATGGAAGGAACTTTGTATTAAAGATTTATTCTGAAAAACTGTTTAAAAACAATCTGATGCATATATCAACACAGCATAGTTCCATGCTGACTCATTTGGTCAGAGACAGTCTGGAAAGATGTTAGTAGACAGCAATCACACTCTCTAGAGAGTTAGAGAAGTGGACTGCTTCAGGATATTCCAGAAGCATATTTGCTCCAGGAGAAGAATGTATTATAGAAACACTACAGCAGTGATTCTGAAACTTGAGCATGTATCAGAATCAGCTGAAGAGCTTGTTCAAACAAAGACTGCTGAGACTCAAACCCAGAGTTTCTGCTTCAGTGAGTCAAAGGGGTGGAGCCTAAGAATCTGCATTTCTTTCTTCTTCTTTTTTTTTTTGAGAAAGATTAGCCCTGAAGCTATCTACTGCCAGTCCTCCTCTTTTTTGCTGAGGAAGCCTGGCCCTGAGCTAACATCCGTGCCCATCTTCCTCTACTTTCTATGTGGGATGCCTACCATAGCATGGTGTTCCAAGTGATTCCATGTCCACACCCGGGATCCAAACCAGCGAACCTTGGGCAGCTGAGAAGCGAACGTGCGAACTTAACCGCTGCGCCGCCGGGCCAGCCCCGATAATCTGCATTTCTAATAGGTCCCCAGGTGAGGCTGCTGGTCTGCTGACAACACTTTGAGAACCGCGGCCTTAGAGAGAAGAACATCTTCCAGAAACAGGTTAGTGTTAGGAAGGAACAAGAAACAAAAATTTTTTGCTTCCAATTTATTTCGAATTCAATTGTGCACAGGTTAATTTTCACAAAACACCACTTTGTTCCTACTTTTAATATGCTCAAAATTTCCACTCTTCATTTTCTTCTAAATAAAGTCGTAATAAGTAACCAGAAAGTGAAAATCATTAGCAGTGCCCCCAACCTTTCACCTATGTTCTTAACAAACTAGTCCATTTCTTGGCCCTCAAAAAAATTCTAAGCCTTCATGCCCTAACATTTGTTCCTCCTACTTGTTCTTCCTGGAATGATTTCTTATTCTCACCAGTGTTTTTGCCCTTCAAAGTCCAACCCATTCTTGAAGACTCAACTAAATGTCTTCTCCATTAAATTTTCTCAGATACAGTGATAACTTTTTTTTTTTTTTTTTAAAGATTTTATTATTTCCTTTTTCTCCTCAAAGCCCCCCGGTACATAGTTGTATATTCTTCGTTGTGGGTTCTTCTAGTTGTGGCATGTGGGATGCTGCCTCAGCGTGGTCTGATGAGCAGTGCCATGTCCGCGCCCAGGATTCGAACCATCGAAACACTGGGCTGCCTGCAGCGGAGCGCGCGAACTTAACCACTCGGCCACGGGGCCAGCCCCTACAGTGATAACTTTTTAATCCTGAACTTACTACATATTTCTTTGTACGTTGTTATTTTTATTTTGCAAAACCTTTCATTTCTGCCTATTATAGTTGGGGAAAAAAAAAAACCTAACTACTTTTACAGCATTTATTTTATCGCAGCCTTTTAATCCTCCGATCTACCTTACAAGACAGATACTAATATTACAGCCATTTTACAGGCAATTTACTTCTGTATGGTTCATTTTATTTCTAAATTTAAGTTACATGACATCAAACATGTGATTTAAACACATTTGTGTTCCCTAAAATACCCATCACAGTACCTTGCAAATAATTATGTTTATTAAAATAATCGCTGCATTCAAGATCGTTGTCTTTGGGTTGCTATAAGGCAGTGATGATAAAAGTATTTAAATACTTGAGCAGGTTAGTTCTACAGGCTTCTCTGTGAACTAAACTCTGCTTATTAGGAATGACTAGTTGAGGGGAGGATAGAAAGACCCAATTCGCTGTCCTCAGTTCAGAATAACTCTGAAGGGCCAATTCAGCCCAGAGCACCCACGGGATCGGCTGAGGCCTTTGCTGAGACTGCATTAAAGTTCAACTTCTCCCTTTACCCAATCTTGCTTCCTTTACTCTCTCACAGGTCTGGATCTCAAGGGTTCTACCAATAAACTTCTCGCACACAAATTTCCGTGTTTCCAGAGAATGCTTCTTGAAGAACTCAACCTAAGACAAAAGGAGTATGGACTGACCACATTTATTAACTTTATTTTACTTTTTTTGAGACAGTGCTTTAGAGTGGAAATTGTGTATGCTTTATAGTCAGAGAGATTGGAGCTTATCAGGTATCATCTGGGAGAAATTACTACTTAATCTCTCCAAGCCTGTTTTGTCATCTCTTAAGAGCGATCTTGCTAGGATGAAAGACAGTCCACATAAAGCAACTACCACAGCATTTGACAAAATACAGATGCTCAGAACATGGAGGCCTCTAAGTGGGTAAAGCGGAATCACTAGAAGGCTAAGGATCTACAGCACTTCATCGCTACTCCTCCCAGATGTGTTTCTTTTCATTATGTTGTAATACTATGGCCTGATTTGTATTGAAGGTCCCTACTTTAAAAAAGCCACATGGATTCCAAGTTACTCAGTGCTCCAGCGGTGAGAGATTTTCCTCCAAGTTTGAGAGTAGGGAAAATTTTTCCAGCATGAGACACTGGGATATACAAATCTTCACCACATACAACGACAGTTATGTAACGTCACCTGACTCCTGCTTCTCAGTGGCTTCCAAGGCAGAGAGCCTGGCTCTGTGTTCAGTCACGGCAACGGAGTTGACCCACTCTTTTGACAGGTCTGCTGTCCTCCCCCAATCCAATTTTCTCCTTTTATGATCTGATTTTATTGTTATGGCCTGGGCATTTTATTATAAACTACTCTTTTAGAAAATGTTAGGCTAAACAAGAATCGATCTCCAAGATTCTGAACTCTTGAATTCTCTCCCTGGCCAAAATCTCCTGATCTCTAATCCTTCCCATAATTTCTCTCACCGTAAATCTGATCTTCAGTTTTATGACCTTCAAATTTCAATCTCTCCTAATAGTCCGTGTCCATAACTCACCTTCATGTTTCCTTTCTAAACTTTGCAGTTTGAACCCTATCTTCAGCTGTCACACCATGAGTTGACCACCAACACTAAACACCAGTTGCTGTAACCGAAAGTTCGGTCTCTGAACCCGATGCCAATCCAAATAACGAGAATAGAGTCTTGAGTGGAAGAGGAAAGGTTTTTACCATGCCAGGCACAGGGAGCAAAGCAAGGGCTCATGCCTCAAAAATTGCTAGCTCCCTGATGAGGAATGGGTAGGGATTTTTATTTGGGAAGCCTCCACTCCTTGATATTCCTGAGACAGTGGCTTTCCTGGCAAACTTCAAGGACATATGATTAGCTAAACTTTAGTGTGCCTCCAACTCCAGGCCACCTGGGCTTTTAACAATTTGTAACTCCCATTTAGTTGTAAAGCTCAAGGAGTCCAAGTTTAAAGAAACAGGTATTTACATATGAGTGGAGTTAGAGAAGCAGGAAAGCGGGAGGTGGGTTTTAGTTTTAACCCCATATACGCTGGGTTCAGTGTGGGGGAACTGATATCAGGGCTGATGTTAAGAGCCTGTAACATTACCATATATTTAGTACTTACTATGTAATGGAATTATGTTAAATGATTTACAACAGGGGTTTACAAAGTGTGGTTCTCCAGACCAGCAGCATCAACTTTGCTGGGAAACTTATGAGAAACTCCATTTCTGAGACCCATCCAAGATATTGTAAATCAGTAACTCTAGGGGGGTGGGGCCCACCAATCTGTGTTTTCACAAGTGCCCCAGGTGATTCTGATGAATGTTCTAGTTTGAAAACCACTGCTTTACCAATATTATCTTATTTTATCATAAAAGCCTAAGACTTAAGGGTAAATAGTCTTATCCCAGCTTTATAGATGAGGAAATTAAGGCTCAGATGTTCAGTAAATTGTGCAAGGTCTCACAGATTGCAAATGGCAACGTGGCAAACCAACCCCAGGTCTGAAAGATTTAAGAGTTAATCCTTTCAAGTTATACTCCATGAAATCCCTGACTTGTTTGTTCTCCCATAATTTGTACTTCGTTGATTACTAAACTTGGGTAATCAAGTTTAATCATTTGCTGCACGATTTGTTTCTGTCCTTATGTCCTTGAATATTACCGGGAGAGAAACAAATAAAAGTAGTGATTGTCATCATTATAATACATGTCTATTTTTTACCCCTGAGGTGGGTTCCCAGCTGGTGGGATCACTTGGTGATCTTTCTTCCCATCTTGTGTGGATTCACTATGACATCTCTGTTAAGACTGCAACTATTCTCCACATTTTCCTAGTTCACAATGCTATTTCCTGTTGATCACAAGGCATCAGTAGAAGGTCTGTCTATTTCCCTGGAGATACAGGGGCAAAATAACATGAGCCTTTCTCACTTCCAGCCATTCTACTTTAGAATCCCAATACATTTTCTTTTTTCTACGCCTTTGTTCTTGCTTCCAAGGAACAGGTGACCCTTTTCTCTGCTAAGATTGATTGCTTAGACTCTTGGTTCACTAGTTCTGTTACTTTTCTCAGATATTGCTCAATAAATTTTCCCCTTGTCTCATTTGGAACTTCTCTCCCACACTTTTGGCCCCTTAACCCCATCCACAAAGTATGTTTGGACTTTCCCTTTACTAAAGAGGAACAACTTTCCTCAATTCTGCTACCATCCCTTCCCCAGTCTCTCTTTCTCATCTTCAGTTCAGTGTCAAATTTCTTTAAAGAACAGTCTAACATTCTTCCTTAGATTCCTTTGCCACTCCTAATAGTGATACCTTTCTAGTACAACAGTTCTCTCGAATGTCATCAAGGAACTTTTCTAAACCAGATCCTCCTCCAAAAGAACCCAAAAGCTTCCTTAATGTGTATTAATATTTCCCCTTTAATCTCTGTACTGTCTGTTACCGATGTGCATCCCTGTAAGAGAACTTTTCCCTGACTTGGTTTCCATGACATTGACATAGCAGAATCCACTTAACCATCTCTTCCCATCTTTTTGGTTGTGCTTTGCTTTCTCTTCTTCTTTCTGTCTTATTATTAATTTCTTCAGCTAATAAACATTTTTGAAACCTGCTATACGCCAAACACTAAGTTAGGTGTTGGGGCTACAACAGTGAATATGATACATGTGGTCCCGTCCTCTCAGACCCTACAGGTTAGTGCAAAAACTAGGAATGAGAAAACAGTACATTATCTCACTTAATCCTCACAGCTGCTTTCTGCAGAGGGTGCTAGTATCCATGTTTTATAGATGATGATACTGAGGAACAGGGAGGTCACACAGCTCCCTGCTTTTGTCCTAAGCACTTTCTGTTTTTTTTATGTATTCTACCTTACTAAGCTCACATTCTCCCAACAATTTACCTCCATATACATGCCCAGGGCTCGCAAACACAAGAACAAACATCAGCTCTAACCCAGAACCCATTCCCTCAGAGCAAGGCTTGGATTGCTGTGTAAACAACCCCACCTGAACATCTCCCTCAAACCCCTAACTAAAAATGTCCAAAGAGAACTCATTATCTGATCACCTTTCCCAAATTAATGTCAACATAAAACCAACCGTCTGTTCCCTTCCTGACTTCTCAATTCTTAATGGTATCATCTTTTTTCTAGTCTGCCAGGCACAAAATATTAGAGATATCTTGAACAAATCCCTCTCCTCCACACGACTGCTAAATACCATTAATTATGTCTCAGCAATGTCTCCTTTTAACCATCTTTACACTTCATTCCCTGCAGGTGTTATCATTGTTCCTACCTTCACGACATTTACCTGTGGTTTCCACTGCCTCCTAAGTGCTTTCTACAGTTTCACTGTTTTCCGGTTCTAGGTCACCCTATTAACCTGTTACATCAGGCCAATCGTCTTGCTATATTTCTGATCCTGGTGGTTCCCTGCTCAACCCTTCTGAAGTGAAGTACAAACTGCTCAGGCCAGCGATCATAGCACCTGCCTATCTTTCAAGCCAGTTCTTCTATCTTCTTCGATGTACTGTATGTCCTGGGTAAAAGGGTCCACTATTCCCCATACTTTTCTGCCTTTACTCTTTCACCTTAAATGTCCCTCCTTTTTACCGCTGTCTGATGGAATCATACCACATTTTAAGGTTTATCTCAAACGGTCTCCCTTCCATGAATTCTCTCCAGACCTCACTGTTTTATTGAGCTCCTTGTGGTAATACGTTTGATGTTCTCTTCTGGCACCGTAGGCTGTCTAATACGCTGTTATATTGGTATAAATACTGTCAAAGTGCTGTTTCAAAGCAGGAACTGTGTCAGATTCTCTTCTCCTCCAGGAAAGCCCTTTCCCATAGTAAAGGCTTATTACCACTGGCTGAATTGACATGGTGGGGTGAGTGTTTAAATCAGGTGGAAGCAATAGAGAGAGGATCAAACGAAGCTAAGATAGTCATGCTAAGTCAAAACACAACATATCTTTTGGCACGTTGGCTATATTTCTCTTTTTATTTCTTTGTTCTTGGCATTTGCTCTTCTTGATTTGCTTTATCTATTAGCTTGACAAGCGATTTAACTACAGAACAATGCTGGGCATCTGCAGAAGTCAACAACTGGCTCAGAGGAGGAATAGACTGCCCCTTAGAGGACGTTACTGAGCATTTTCTTTCTGAATGATGACGTGTTTGTGGGGTGGTCACTGTTAATTTCTTTTTGGAGCTTCTCTTGAGAACACATGAGCAGCGAATTATCAATATCTCTCTATGCTTTCATCAGCATTGGAATTTCTATTAATTTTATCAATAGTAATTACAACGACAATAACAATACTCTCATATCTGTAGGGCAGTTTATCCTTTTGCACTGTGTTCCGCTTTATGATTTGTTCGGCCTCCATAGCATCCTGAATGCCCATGAAAAACAGTGCCTTCGCAACTTAATTTCAGATCATCTTACAAATAGTGGCTGAGCTGATGTTAGAAAACAGGTTTGTTTTGTTGGTGTTTTGCAATTCAAAACGCGGCCCTTGGATCAGCAACCTCTGCCACACCATTAGAAATGCAAAATCTCAGGCCCCACTCCAGACCTATTGGGTCAGAACCTGAAAGTTAAACACCCCTCTACATTATAGGACGGGACAACAGAGGGTATGTTTTCATCCCCAGGGTATTGTAACGTGTGTGTGTGTGTGTGTGTGTGAGAGAGAGAGAGAGACAGACAGACAGACAGACGGAGATCAGTCAAGGGAAGAAAAATCTCAGTAGAACATAAGTCTCTCAAGTTGGGTGAGCGCTCGCCGTTTTGTGGCGGTGGAACTTCCGTGTATATTTTCAGTAGCTTCACTTGACGATCACTTTGTTATCTGCACTCTGAGGTTAGAGGTTAACTGTTAAAAAAAATGAAAACAGGTGGTGTGTGTGTGTGTGTGTGTGTGTGTGTGTGTGTGTGTGTGAGTGGTGGTGTGTCAGGTAACTGTACCCAAACCAGGAGGATAAACGACCTAAGCACAAAAGGAAAGCCCTTTCCGGAGCCTTCAGAAGCAGCTCACTCCAGCTCATTTCCAACATCTCTAGTTTCTGGATGCATTTCTCCTCCTCGCGTTTCCCCTTAACACCCACGATCCACTCACTCCATTAAAGCCAGTTGCTCGCCTCCCGGTTTCTTTCTTCCTTCTCGTCCCTCTCCCTCTTTCCCGGCACCCCCGGGCCGGCCCCTCCCTCCCTCCGCGCCGACTTGCACCTCTCCCCAACCGGGTGCACCTGAGGCTGGCGCGGGCTCGGGACGCGTGCGGAGCGGGCGCGGCGGAGGCAGAGGCGCGCAGACTGCCACCTCCAGCCCGCGCCTGAGGGACAGCGCGCGCAGCGCTTCGGGGACCATTCTCCACGGCCACCGCTCACGCCTGGTGGCGACCCCCGCGGCAGCTGCGGGCGGGCAGCCGTGCGCCCCCGGGCCGGGGATAGCCAGCCCGGCGGCTGCACCTCCCAGATGCCAGGGCCAGGGCGCCGGGCTGCCGCCAGCAGGAGGATGAAGGGCTCGGTGGGAGGAAGGAGAGAAAAGCTACAGGGGGCGCCGAAAGCTCAGCCCAGCCATGGTAAGTTGAGCGCAGAAGAGATGTCTCTGCTGGGGTGGTGGAGTTGGCTGGGGTGCCAGGCGCGGCGCTGGGGTTGCGCCCCTGCCGGGTGCGAGACGCACCGAATGGGCATTTACAAGGTCCGGACCTGGGACCTCCCTCTCCCGAGGACTCCACACCATGAGTCCGCACCCCTGCCTCTTCTGCTGGGCGCCCAGCAGAGCTGTTAGGTTGTGGGGGCCGGAGTGGAGAGCGCAGAGCTTGAGGGTCTCTGGACACCACGCGCTGCCGAGGACCAAGGGGCGGAGGAGGCAGCGGTGGAGAGGACAGGGTCAGCCTGG